AAATATGGCTGTATTATAAATTTTTAAAAATAGACAAAAAAATTGAATTTCAGGAAGAGGATGCTCAGTCACCAAACCTCTTGGCAGAAATCAGTTTCTCTCATATAAATTAAGCTCACAGAATACAAAAAGAGAGCAAGAAAACTGCCTTTAATAAATAACTAATAAAAGTAGAAAATTAAAATGAAGGTCAGAAAATGTATGCATTTACTTTATCTGTATTGAACTTTGTGGCTTAATTTTTTAGGTACTGTATTATGATAATTCTTTATTACTTTTAGTAGCAAAACACACATATGCACACCCCTCTAAACATGTGCTAAGAGAACGGCTAAATAAATTATATTGAATCCAGGCAATAGAAAATTATGTTTTGGGGTAAGAAACTGCTTAATAGGAAAGAACAACTGGGATGAGGGAAAGGAGAAAAGAAAGAAAGAAGGAAAGGAAAAAATATATGTATATATACACAAGATAGCTAAGATAATTGTACTAATAATTTCTATTGGTTTATTGAAAGGAAGAGTTAATGTCTAATTGTTTGATCAATCTTGTATACCTACACCTGGTAATCTGAGCAACTACTTTGAAGATAACAGTAAGTAATACAACAATCGTTGTTGATTTCCTATCATCTTGTTTTGAAATTCTGTAACATTTTTATAGTTTTTGTGGGTTTTTCGGTTCTTTCACTTTAAAATTTAAAAAAAGAAAATTATGTTTTGTAAAATACCTGTGAAATAATATAGGATGAAAAAAGCAGTATATATACACACTAACTATATATTATATAGTATACATAGAAAGACTAGAAGAAAAAGATAAAATATTAATAGTGATTATTTCTAGGCTGTGAAACTCTCAGTAATCTTTGTTTCCATATATTCTATGGCTTATGCAGTGTCTTAAAAATTAGAAAAATGTTTTAAGTATTCTTTTATTCATAACTGCAATATTGGAAACAATTTAAATTTACAGTAATAGAATGATCACAGTAAATTATAAGCTATCAAAATGATGACTAGTATATATTCATTAAAACCAGACTATGTCTAGAAAGATATTTAACACAGAAAATCATAATATATTTAGGTGTAGAAGGAGGCTCTATAATATGCATAAAATATTTTTTTATTTTAACATTCTTGGAATGTTCTACAAAAATTATACACTACTTTTTGGCTGGGGATATAACTCAGTGGTAAGCACATGCTTAGCAAATAGGAGACCCTGGGTTCAATTCCCAGCACGAATAAATGGATGAATGAATGTTTTTTTGTTGACTATTAAATAAATAAAAACATCACTACCCTTTTGAAAAAATATGAACAGCCACATGTGATTCCAGCCTGCCTGTCATTCCAGGGCAGGGGGTCTTGCTGAAGGGGGTGGGAGAGGCAGGAGGGAGGGCAGAGCAGAAAGCCCACCTCCTCGCTTAAGTATTTCTTAGCTGTGATGACCTAGCTCCCAGATTGGCTCTCAGGATGAAATGGTAGCTTGTACTTTTTAACAACTGCTCACACCAAAGCCTTTGCTCTTCTCCCTATAACATGCTTATCCTGATCTCATTTCCAGGGTAGGGATGGTTAGCTAAGGTTTTCTGAGACCTTTCTTTACAGTGGATAAACCCTGAATAAACCTTGGTAGACTTCACGATGGGAGACTGACTCATTTGTCCAAGGTGACTCTTGAGAAAACCAAGAAAAAGGGGTCAAAATCTACTTTTCCTGGTAGATTTTGAGACCAAATCTGACAAGCTGGATCATTTATAATGTTTAGGAAGTACCTGTAAATGCCAGCCCTGCACTAGACAGCGAGGGTAAATAACAAACACAACACAATACTGTCTGGTCTCCAGCAGCTTGAAGTCTCTTGAGTGAGAGATGTGGAGAGAGTTAATGGCATTGCACTTGGGAAGTGCTGTGACCCAGCCCCCCAGTGAGAGCTGTGGGGGCCCTGTAGAAGGCCATCACGACTAGATTAACATTCCAGTTATATAAGGAAGACAGTTGGACGAAAGGGAAGTCATTTTCATCTAGAGGAACAAAATATGACAGAAACACAGACATAAAAAGCAACAAATGGCTCAAGGTGCTCGGTCCTAGAATAAGGGGTGGGGTCGTGTGTTTTTTGGGTGATGGTTTTGGATGGTGGGGATGGGGCCAGAGGTAAGTATCTTCCTTGGCAGAGGACATGATGGCACTGAGGAAGTGCAAAGAGTCTGTCTGTGAGGAACTTTCTGAGTTGGACTCAAGAATTTAGCTCTTAGGAGAGAATATGATCAGTTCTGTCTTTTTTTTTTTAACAGATAACGTAAGCAACAGAATGGAAGATGAACCAAAGGTACAAATCCAGAACTAGATAAACTCAAAGGCTTTAAGACTCAAAGCACCCTGCCGAAGTTTGGACAAAAGAAGGAGGTTCTAAATATGAGGGCTCCTTTGGTATTCTCGTAATAACTTCACAGAATTTTTAAAGGATTTAGCTCTAGGAGGAGATACCTAAAAACTGAGCTCCCATCAGGCAGAAGGTTGGCCTGAACCTGTTACGCAGAATGCTGCCTGCTTCCCTCAGAAGCAACAGATGGTATGGGACACAGCACAGGGATAGAGGGTAGAGTCAGACAGCCCAGAGCGACAGGTGTGATTCCCTCACTGACTAGAGGGCTCCCCCAGAGCTGTCACCTCATCTCTTTGAGGCTGCTTCCCCCACAAAGGGGTGTAATTCTTGTTTACCTAACAAGATGGTGGTATGGAACAAATTAAGCAAAGTGGTACAAAGTGCTTTTCACAGTTCACAGAACATGCTAGGTACTCAAAAATGAGTCTTCTGCAATGACTTATAGATAGGAGACCTCTACTTCCTCTCTCAGGGGAAAAAATGAGTCCTGGCCATATTTTGGATAATTTTAAATGCCTTTAAAATGCTAAGTGTCACAAGCCTGTGGATGCCCTTTACAATTATTTTTAAGATTGCCTCAGTCACAGAACAGAAGGTTGGGTCAGCAAGAATTTTCTAAATTAATATTTATTCACTTAACACAAGATAAAGATTTTGTTTCAAAGATAGAATGAAAGCAAAGAAAAAAAGATGGGGATCATAAAACGTGTCACCAGTATTTTTTCAATCATTCCTTAATGAATGACTTTTTCTTAATGACAGAACACTATAAATACCTCCTTGTATTTTTCTGGCTGAAGAAATATCATATATCGTTCCTAGTTAACTAATTGGAAAAGACTTAACCCTTACAGGATTTAGTATGCTATTGTGATATAAAAGACAGCAATGGTAATAAGACTCTAAGAGCTATCATTAACCAAACATATGGATGTTAGCGTTTTTACCTTTCACAAATGTTTGAACTTAACTTTTATGGCTCAAAAACAGAACAGCTTTAGTTAATTGAAAGACCAGTTCCTGTACTCAGAGCCACTTATGGGATGGGAATGAAAATGTCAAGTGCCTCAGCACCACCAGGCATTGTCTGTCCCTCTCACCTCCACTGTGAGGTGGGTATTCTCAGCTATAGCTTACAGATGAGGAGCAGGAGGTGCTGAGATATGAGGGTCTTGCTCAAGATTACTACACTAGTAATAGGGAGGTCAGAATGTGAAGTTCCAGGTTCTAAAGTTCATGATCCTTTTTTAAAAAAAAAAATCACCTTTGAATAATAGTTTACATACAATAAAATGAAACCACTGTATGTGTACATTCACATGAGCTTTGATAACTGCATACAGCTGTGTAATCACCACTAGCAACCAATAGATCCATTTCCAGCCCATAATCTTCTCTTGTGCCCTACCTACAAGAGTCTGTGAACGCATGCTAGCCTTTACCATGCTATTCTGAGATCTCAAAATCTATCTCCTACCAAGTAGGGTACAAAAAAAAGATGGTTTCTCTTTTCTGTGAGAATGTGTAATAGAGGGATCACTATCTTCGATATCTAGAATTGTCCTGAGACGTTCCAATTTCCCAATGAATTCCACAGGGAATTCTCACAGTCTTTTTTTGTTTTTTGTTTTTTTTCCAGGTACCAGGAATCGAACTCACAACCTCGCGCTTGCCAGGCAGGCACTTGCCAGGCAGGCGCTGTGCCGCTGAGCTAAATCCCCAGCCCCTCATAGTCTCTTATTAATGATTTGAAATGATGTTTGTTTAGCTCCAAAGCTAAATCCGTCTTCTGTATATTTGGATAAGTGCTCTCGCACCTATTTGGTTTAGTATTCTGTGGCTCATTTGGTGATCAAACATATATTGATTATGAGGCCCTTTGCTGGGTTCTGGGACTAATGGATGGATCATCCATAAGCTCCAGTTTCAAGGAGGGAGAATCAGATATGCAAATCAACAAGTATAATTACTAAGATAAATGCTGTGAAAGGAATATGCACAGGAGCCAGTGATCTCTTCCACATGAGTGTGACCACACACATGTGGTTCTTTCAGCTCCAACAGAGGTTGCTAATAATTCTAAAATTAAATAGAAATGGTCATATTGGGGCTTTTTATTTTACAAAAGGATATTAGAAGGTCCTTTATTTTATAGACAGACAAATAAAGACCACTCAAATACTGTACTGAGTCCAATAGTGATCCCTAAGAAGGCTTTCTGATTTCTATGAACAATTTTCTTCTGCCTTTTCTGTTAATACAAAAAAAAAAAAAAAAAAAGGCACTTTTGTCTGGGTTCAGAATGTAAAATCAGGAAATAAAATGGAAAGTCTTACAACTGTGAACTTCAATCAGCTCATTACAAACCAAAGAGACATATTTGAATGCATGTTGCTACATTCATTTACCTATTCTGCCAAGCCATTCAATTATACGATTTCAGATTTTGTATAAGAAATACAACCATGTTTCATTCAAAAGCTAGTATTTGGAGGAAAGTGATTAGAACAGCATGCTATGATACGTTAATACAGTGGTTTCATTTAATGGACAATGGCAGTTTCTGAAATGCTCCCTATACTTTAAATTATTGCACTTACAGTTCATGACTACAACATGTCTCAACTTTTTTCTTTACTGCTATACAATACACTCCATCACCACTGTGAATGCAAACAAAACACATTATCAGAAGAGTTTTATTAGCATTTGTAATCATAAAGAAAGTCATGTTTAAAGCTGGGTAGCAGGTACAGTAGGTTGTTCAAACTGTGTGAATATTGAGAAGAATAAAGCACTATAATTGAGGGAAAAATCAGAGTAGGAGAGCAAAAGTGAAAGCAAGAGGAAAATCTTACACCAAAATTTAACATCCCCTTGGAGGGACAGGGCACAAAAGAGCGGGAGTTTATTCTAACAAGAAGCAGCTGTTGCGTTCGAATTAGGAAGCATTCCTAATGAATCAGCAGTTCTTATAATAAATATACTCGCCTTTGAAATGTGAGGATTCTGCTATGAGAATTTCTTTTGATATATTTTTTACATGAACTCATTAGATGGAGAAGAGGCAGGGACTGAGCACACTTCTTGCTAAATTACTAAGGTTATCTCATCCACATCATGCGCTCAAGGTTAGTTAGGCTGGGCACTGGAAAAACAAAGGAAAAGCACAAAGCTAAAAGAACTACTCACCAGCACCCTTTGTGGATCACTCCAAGTAAACTTTGCAAGATGCCACGTAACAGCCACCTCTTATCAAAAACCTGCCACTACACTAAGGCCAGTTAGGTTTAAAATGAAAATCTGAGCTACCTTGACAAAGCAAGAGGCATCAAGAATCCCCAAATTACAGAGTGGTGATGACCTGCTTGCAGCATATATTCTGCTCCCCTGATGACACACTGGCATTTTAAAAAGAGAAAAGGGAAAAAAAATTCTGCACACATGCATATTTATTTCACCCCCACCTAGGTTCTACATTCCTCATTTTTCTTGCTTCACAGCTAACAGAGATTTTCCAAAGCAAAAATCACTATGTCTCTATCAATACACACACTGAAAAAAAAAAAATCAAAACTACTTGCTCTAATATTACCCTTACTTACCAATTATAGTTCTCTGACTTTTAACTTACCCTTCTCCTTTCCTGCCTCTTACCAGTCTCCCTGCCTCTCCCCTTCTCTGATGGGTTTCCAGGATTCCTGGAGCCCCAGTGCAAAACCCAGGAAGCCAGAAGGTGACACAAGCATAATGAAGAGATTGTTAGAGCTGCCTTGCCTTTCTTCCCTGAACACCAACAGTACTTCCACCCTAAACTTGGAAATGAAAGTGAAAGGACATCCTCAACAGAAACACAATCTTGAGTGTCTAAAAACAACTCTTTTCACAAACTCATACATGACCTCCGATCTCCGTTGGCCACTTTTGTTCCCAACAACCGATTAAGAGAATGCAAAGAACATAGATCTGCAGATAATAGACATTAATGACCAAGAAGATTTAACTCTATCATTTCTATATCATACAGAGGAGGCAGAAATAAGTAGGTCCTTGAAGGTGAGGGTGGGTCACCCTCCTTCTACAAAATCAGAGCCCCAATAAGGTGGGGGGGGTGATCCAAAAGACAAGCCTGGAGTAATAAAAAGCGATCTCTCTGCTTAAAGATGTGTCTGTTTGGTTTATATACTGAGTAGTTAGAAGACTGGGACTCAAAAGGGGCCCAGAAGCTGGGTGTGGTGGTGCATGCTTGTAATCTCAGCTACTAGGGAGACTGCCATAGGATGGAAAATTTTGAGGTTTAGTGGGACTTTGTCTCAAAATTTAAAAATGCAAAGGCCTGGGATTATAGTTCAGTAGAGTGCCCCTGGGCTTGATCCTCATTGCTGTTAAAAAAAAAAAAAAAAAAAAAGACAGGACATAGTTCAGTATTCCCTGGGTTCATTCCCCAGTGCTACAAAACCAAAACCCAACACAATCGAACCCAAGCCCACTCCAGCCCTCAGGAAATTTGCCTGTGGTCATCTGATAAATGATCAATGTTAGAGAAATATTTGAAACCAGATCTCTGCAGCTCTAAAGCTACACCCGCATGTTGCTGGTATGTGGCTTCCAAATCATGCATAGGTTTAATGTTGCTACTTCTTTAGCACCACTCAGTTGGCCATAAGCTCCCATCTCTTCTTCTCAAGAAGAAGACAAGACAGAGAGCTGTTAAGTCACTTGACCAGCAATACATAAACCCATCCTAAAAGTGGAACTCAGTTGTCATAGCAGACAGACTACCAAAAGTACTTGCTCTTGTTTTATAGCATGAGCCTAACTACTGAACAGATAGATCTACTACATGGACTTCCTTAGACTGATTGCCTTGCAAACTTGGATTCCTATAGAAACATCTACCATTGCTGGTGCTTAGCTGACTCTGGCCCTAATCAACCAAAAGGTCAGCTTTTGTAGCACTCTGCCCTATGTGCTATGTTGGACAACAACACTGGTTCAGAAAATATTCACTTGATGAAGACTGATCAAATATATTAAAAAAAACTGGCAAGAGAAGAAGTTTAGAAATCTGACATGTAAACAATGACTTCCACACAAAGATATCTTCCTCACAGCTTCTTGTAATACCACAGCAATAAATTGTGAAGAGTTTAAAATATGGCAAATATATTTTTCTCAGAGACTGGAACAAAAGACAATTAATTATAAATCCAACTTTCACAGTTAGAGATAGGCAAGTTACTTAATCCATGCTTTCCTTTCCTTTAAAATGGAGCTAACTACTTGGAAGCTGCACAATTCAAGTAATGAGTTTAGCACTGTTTCCACGTGTAAAGTAATCAATAAATAGCAGGTGCTGTTACTATTACTATTTTCTCTTATAGTAGAGGATCACTAGGTAAAACATGGAATGCCTTGGAGATTTAGTAATGTGGCTATTAAAATGTTTTCCAGACAAAAAATTTATATAAAAATGATTATACATAAACAGATTATCAATTAAATAAAAAGGTATATGATACCAAATTTAAAACACAAGTATCATATGTATATTATATATATTATTAGAAAAGGACTAAAAGGAAATATAATTTGTATCTTTGAAAGGTATAATTAAAGGTAACTTTCTTCTATATTAAAAATACATTCATTTAAAAGTCAAGTTTCATTTGTTTTCTTGTGGATATCCAATTGCTCCATCAGCTTTTTAAAAATAGACAATTCTTTCCCCCTCTGAATTAGTCTGGCACCCATGTTTTAAAAAATAATCAATCAATTATCTATTGGGTACACAAATACATATGTCTATCCTTATGTTGATATCACAATATCTTGATTATGGCAGCTTTACAGTAAAACTTCAAATCAGTTAATGTGTGTCCTCCAACTTTATTCTTTTAAAAAATTATTTGCTATACAAATGTACATACAAATTTACAATCTGCTTGTCAGATTTTTGTTTTTTGGTTTTTTTTTTTTATTTTTTAAGCCTAGTGGTATTGTACTGATTCTATGGGTGAATCTGGGGAAAACTGATAAATATATTAGATGGAATGACTGATGATTTTAATTTTAAAGAGTTAGTTTTGCTAAGTTTGAAACCTATAAGGTATAAACTCAGGTAAAAGTGATGTTGGAGTCTTAAGTCTGAAATCTGTAGAGGAGGGCAGCAGGCTAGAAGCTCAGGCAGGATTTCTGTGTTACAATCCTAAGGCCAAAACAAATTCTTTCTTTTCTGGGAAACCTGAGTCTTTGTTCTTAAAGCCTTCAACAGAGTGGATGTGGACCATCCACATTATGAAGGATGACTCCTTTTATTAAAAGTCAATTGATTATAAATGTTAATCACATCAAAAATAATTTCCATAATACTATTATTTGAACAAGTAACGGGATATGACTGTCTATCTAACTTGACACACATAATTAACCAGCATAACATCCTGGCAACATTGACTTCTTGAGTAAATGAATAAGGTTTATTTATATTTTCTTTTAACATACCTCAGCAATGTTTCATACTTTTCAATATACAGGTCTTACAAATATTATTCAATGTACCTCGAAGTATTTCACATACTGATGTCATTATAAAAGCAATTGTTTTATTAATTACATTTATAATCTTAATACCAATTTCTTTACCTAATATCAGCCACAAAAATTAACAAAAATGGACCAAAGTCCTAAATAGAGAAGATAACTCTATAAAATGCTCAGAAGAAAATATAGAAAAAAATCTTTATGTTGGTAGGTTACACAAAGATTTCAAAGGACACAAAATGCATGAACCATTGAAGAAAAAAGTTGATAAAATGGACTTTGAAATTAAAATCTTGCCAGACATGGTCACACATGCCTGTAATCCTAGCACTCAGGAGGCTGAGACAGGAGGATCACTATGAGTTCTAGGCCAGCCTGAGTTACAAAGTGAGTTCACTAGTGTAAACTATACAGTGAGACTGTGTCCCAAAACAAAAAAGTAAAATCTTATATCATACTGTCTAAAAGAGAAAAAAAAAGGATGAAGAAAGAAAGAAAAAGGAGAAGAAGAAGAAGAAGGAGAAGGAGAAGAAGAAGAAGAAAAAAGCAAGTAACAGATTGGGATAAAATATTTGCAAACTTTATGTAAAATTAAAAGAGATATACCCAGAATAAAGAACTACAACTTAGTAATAAGACAAAAAACCTAAATTAAAATTTTACCCAAAACATCACCAAGGTATATATAAAAATAGCAAATAAGCACATGAAGATTTTCAACATAATCAGTTGTTAGGAAAATGTAAATTAAAACCACTATAAGATGCAATTCAGCCAAAAGACTTAAATAAAAAAGACTGGCAATATCACAATCGGTGAAGAGGAGCAATTGGAACTCTCACACATTATTGCAATTTCTAATAGTTAATACTGTATCATTAGATGCAGTAACTTTAGCCTTGGTATCTATCCAAGAGAAATGAAATCATACGCCCTCACAAAAACTGACTCATGAACATTTATATCAGTTTTATTCACAGTAATCAAAACCTGGGAGTAATCCTAGTTTCTATCCAAAAAATGAATAAAGCATCACTCATCCCTGCAATGGAACACTAACAAAAAAGAATAACATATATATGTATCAACAAAGATGTACCTCAAGAATGTTATGCTGACC